CATCAGACTAGACATACCAAATTCCAGCAACCATTCTTTACATGTTTTAGCCTCCAGTCCCCTAATCATCTTTGTTGCTGTTCTCTGCACTCTTTCTAGAGTCTCAACATCTTTTTTACTGATTCTTTCAGTTTTCACTACTTTTTCCTTGCTGATGGTGAGGATGGCATATATTTGTCCCGTTTCAACTCCATGGCAATATCTTGGCTGCATACATGGCCGAGCAGCAATTCTATTTTAGATGGTATTTTCCATACACCTTCAGATCATTCATGTAAAAAAGATGGGATAGATGTTTTTGATGTCTGATAGCCATGGCCTATCTTGTTTAGTATTGTTGACAGAGAAATCAATGCAATGACAAACAGTAGTGTGATAGTGAATCTCCTTGAAAGATTCCTTTCTTGATGTTAACCTCTCCCAGTCTATCACTATTGACTGACAACTTCCATGGTGCCATTGATCTTTGCACAAAGCTTCTGATGTTTCTACTGACTTCTGTTATTTCTAGGCACTTGATAATCCAGTCATACGGCAGGGAGTCAAATGCCTTCTTGTAATCAATCCACACTACATTCAAGCTGGTCTTCCTTTTCTTGCAGTTTTCCAGAATTGTCTTGTCAGTTAAGATTTGATCTTTTGTTCCTCTGCAGTTTGAGCAGTTTCTTTTCTGCTCAGATGGAAAGAGCTTGTTTTCATCTAGATGCTTTCAACTACCGCACCAGTTGGCAATTTGAAAGTTGTTGTTAAGTAAGTAATTGACCTGTAGTTGCCTGGTGCTAGCCCTTTTGCTAGATCTTTCACTATCAGGTAGATTTTGCCAGATGTTAACCAGCCTTCAATTTCACCTCCTTACAGTACGTTGTTAAATTGCTTGGCAACAAGTGGGTGTGGACCAGTCAGATGTTTCAACAAAAAAACCCCATCCAGTTCATCTTCATCTGCTGCTAACCAAATCTTGAATTTTCTTCCTTCTTTCTCCATCATTTCTTTCATTCCAAGTTCTTCCATTTCAGCTTCTTATCCATCTCCTTTATCCATTCTTACTGTATTTCTTTGGGTTGTTCCACAGGTGCGCCCAGAAAGCCACTGTTTCTTGTTTGTCATGTGTGGACTGGTTCCAGTCTCTTGATGGATTGGTAAAAACTTTTCTGATTTGACTGAAATTGGAGATTCTGTCTATAGTGTGCAATTTGAAGTTTGTATTTCTGATCTCCTTAGCTGTAGCTGTTATTTGCTATTTTATTATTTCCAGTGCTTCCTTGATTTTCCTTTTTTTCTAAGTGATTTTTCTTGATCAGATATTCTTTGGTCTTCTTGTTCTTCAGCCTCTTTTGTTTCATCTTTTCTAGCTTGCTTGCATCTGATCCAGTAGTGGGTTTCAATTTTGTTCGCTACGGTTCGCTCGTGGGTGCGTGCGTGATGCTTCTGCGCATGCACATGTGCACAGATGTCCAGGCATCTGGGTGGAGCCAATCCGGGGCGAAGTGGTAGCAACCTACCACTGATCTGATCTTAACATGCTGATCTTATTTTCCAACCTGATCTTCCATTTTGGTGGTGTACTGTTTTGTGGTTTTTGTATCCATAGAGTGACCCTTATTAAGCTGAGTGATAACTGATCCATCCAGGTTGAGTTTCTGTAAATTACATTTCATGATACTGTTTGTGGGAGAGACACTCTTTGTCTGACTCTTCTGATGAGACCTGAAATAGCTTTCATCCTCCTCAGAGCATGCAAGCCTCACAACTACATCAAGACAGCGATTCTAAGTATCAGGATTACATGTATTCATGAAATTTAAGAAATCTGGGAGTTGAATTCCACATTTGACAAATGGTCAGTGTAAGGGAGACCTGCTCTAATTCAAGTTATCACACTATTCAAGTGTGAGAATTTCAATCTCTGGTTCTGATAATAGAAGGTACTAAGAATATTTGTAGCAATTGAGATGACCACTTGGATTAAGATTTGAGCCATTTGAGAAATGAAATTCAATTGGTGAGTTTAGGCCAATCCCTCTCCCTTAGTTTAACAATGTTAAATGAAGGTATTCGAGGGAAATGCATCTTTTTCCTAATTATATAGAGAGTGTGTTATCTAACTGAAGACTTTTATATATGTTATAATGATTAGATGCAGATTAATGCCTGTGCATTTATTACAACAATATCTGAAGAGGGTTTTCCACAACAGCTAAACATGTTCAGTCAACCAACAAAGCAGGACAAAGCCTGGCAGCCTCTTGGCTGTTAACTGGTGGTTTTCCAAAAGTCTGCTATCAGCCCTTGCTTTGCCAAAAGTTCTGCAAAACAAATGAGGGGACTCTTGGCTTAGAGAATATCTATGTAAGAGGAAAAGGGTGTGAAGAAATTGAAACGTTCGTTATTGTCATAGGAAAGAAAATCAGCTTTATTGACAGAGCCATAGGGAGATTTGGTGCCTATTTGTGCATAGTGCCAGCCTATAAGGTTTTGGTGCCTAAGGCAGAGTAGCAAACGAAGCCTGCCAGCCTACCCGTCCACCTCTTCCCAAGATCCTTTGCCGTGTGGCAGAAGGACAAACAAGTTATTTTGGCAATGGAAGAAAACATGCTGCTCTCTCTCTCTCTCCTTGGCTGTAAAAATAAAATACTACATTAATAAACAATTTAGTACCTTTTTGTAATGCCAAAATCCTGCTGCCTTAGGTGGCCATTTAATTTTGCCTAATGGTAGAATCAGCCACGTTGTTTGTAGGCTACAAGCACTCCGAAAGACATGTTTGGGTGTATTACTACTATTTCTGTGTAATGCTGTCAAATGTGTATCTGAAATCAATCAGATTTCTCCTGATGTGAGAAGCCTGTGACTTCTCAGAATATTACTTGATATGGAATAGATTTTATGAGCGGTTAGAGATAAGAGGTAGAAATTAGACGAAGAAAGATTATTGCTATGCATGAATTAAATATAAAGATGATTTATAATTATAAATATGCCAATATAATTAACAGAATTACAAATAAGCTAACATAGAGATTTAGCCAAAACTATTCTGTTACATTATTATTATTGTTACCAGTATATGTGTTAATATTTCTTTTTGTTCTCTTTGTTTTTCTTTTGTAAATGACAATACACTGTATTCAAAATGTTTATGAATAAAAAAAAATGGGGAAAAAAAGAGAAGCTTGTGACTCTCTCTTTTATAACTAATTAGTAGTCACTCTGCATTTTGGGGAAATAATGCTGTGAAAAGATTTTTTTAACACTTGCTCTTGACATCATTTCTCTATTAGTACCAATTTTTATTTTGGCAGAGAGAAAAATATTGAAATATTAAGCATGCTACAGGTAGTCCTTGATTTACAACAGTTTGTTTAGTGACATGGCACTGAAAAAAGGGACTTATGACTGTTTTTCACACTTACGACCATTGCAGCATCCTCATGGTCACAAAATCAGTCCCTTGGCAACTGACTCATATTTATAACGGTTGCAGTGTCTTAGGGTCAGGTGATCACCTGTTGCAACCTTCTGATAAGCAAAGTCAATAGAGAAGCCAGATTCACGTAACAGCTGTGTTACTAAATTTACAACTGCAGCGGTTCACTTAATAAGCATGGTGTGTGAGAGAGAGAGAGAGAGAGAGAGATCGTAAAATGAAGCAAAATTCACTTAACAAAGGTGAAATTTTGGATTTAATTGTGATTGTAAGTCGAGGACTACCTGTATAGATTACATTTCCAATTCATATGCATATTGTCTTCTGGAAACTAAGACAGCTTTGAGGAAAACAATTAAACTGGGTAAATGGTCCAGGACACGCTCCATCATCATGCTTGCCAAAGCATGGGGACAGAGGGGGGAATGTTGAAGACTAGGGCTGAGAAGGGGTGAAATGCTCCTGGTTCGGACCGGATCGCCTGATCCGGTAGCGATGGCGGTGTGTGGTTCGGAGAACCGGTAGCAAAAATCCTTGCGCCTCCCCCCATGCCCAGCTGAGCCGCACAATGATCAGAGGCGGGTTTTTTTACTTTTAAAAGCATTTTTTCTACAACCTCTTCGGCCAAAAAAATGCTTTTAAAAGTAAAAAAAAAAAAGCCTCTGATCATCATGTGGCTCAGCTGGGATGTCAGAGGCTTTAAAAAGCATTTTTTTCTACAACCTCTTCAGCTGAAGAGGTTGTAGGAAAAAAATGCCTTTAAAAGCCTCTAACGATCCCAGCTGAGTTGCTTGATCATCAGACGCTTCTAAAAGCATTCTTTTCGGCAACCTCTTAAGGTTGTAGAAAAAATGCTTTTAAAAGTAAAAAAAAAAAAGTTGGCCACGCCCACCCAGTCACATTACCCCCCACCACCAAGCCACACCCACAGAACCGGTATTAACAAATTTTAGATTTCACCCCTGGAGCTGAGGCAATACTTTGTTAAGGACAGAAGGAAACAAATGGAAGACCCAGGATTTCCCCTACAGTGTTTGGGATTTGGATCTGAGATCTGCAAGAAATCTGGAAGCTGGAGGATTCACCTGTTATTTTCAGCCATCTCACAGTCTGTTCCTTTTTTTTTTTTTTAATTTTATATGCCGCCCTTCTCCGGAGACTCAGGGCAGCTTACAGTGCGTTAAGCAATAGCCTTCATACTTTTGTATATTTTATACAAAGTCAGCTTATTGCCCCCACAAACTGGGTCCTCATTTCACCTACCTTAGAAAGGATGGAAGGCTGAGTCAACCTTGAGCCTTGGAGAGATTCGAACCAGCAGTAATTGCAGGCAGCTGTGTTAATAACAGGGTGCTTAGACCACTGTACTATCAAGGCTCTTAAACCAAGCTCTGACAAGTTTCTGCACTATCCCTAACTTGGGCTTTTATCTCTCCTCTCAGTCTCCCCCACTTCCACACGGACAAGACACAAAACAGCATAGCCTAAATTGGGCACGCCTAGACCAAGATGCAGAATATTTGTCAGCCTACAGTCTACTTATCTCTTTGCTCATGGCTGCTTCCAAACTTACCTTGAGGTGCAATTGAGGGATTTTCAGCGAAACGGTCTTCTGCCGGGCCAGGATCTTTTGTAGTTCATTGACACGGGCTGTGACGAAGAAATGTAGGGAAGCTTGTTCCAGCAACTGGTTCATGTACTCGCTTGACTCGATGAGCACCTCAAGAGTTTCAGCTGACAGGAGGAACAAACAGAGAAACGCCACTGAAGCCTGTGCAATATACGGTAGCTGCCAGTTATTATTCCCAGTGCCCATTTATGCCATGCTACTCCAGATTACATCAGGTAGAATAAAGATGTTGCTTGCAGAAGGATCCAGTGCTTTTCAATATGCAAAGAAGCATCTAACTTCTGTAGTTCATTCTCCCTGCTATGATTGAACAGAATAGCCAGACCTGTATTTGATTCATTTCCACCCACACAACGAATAGTGTTTACCTTAAACTGCGGCTGCCAGTGGAAATATAATACCTGAAATAGGAAATATTGCATTAAAGAACTACTTTGGATCTTTTCCCTTTACCGAGTTACGGTATTTTCCACACATCCTTTGTTTGGCAGGAAAATCCCTTCAGCCTGAAATTGCCAGTCCAATCCAGCCACTGTTTCCGTTCCCAGTTATTGCAAACCACATGTTTTCTTTGTGATAACAAAGTCTAACTGCTTCTGTACATTTATATATTTATTTACTTAAAACAAATTTATATAGCCACCCAACTCATACACAGTGATTTGGGCAACGTATAACATTTGGAAGCTATCCTTCAACAGTGTTAGAATAAAAAGGAAATACTACTTTAAGAGGAAACGGTTAAAGATTCTTTATGTATTTCATTCATCCATTGGGGATGAGATGAAGGCAGCATCATGGGGACATGGCAGAAAAAGAGAGATTGCCAGGTACAAGGGGATAAAAGCAGGGGTGAAATCCAGCAGGTTCTAACAGGTTCTGGAGAACTGGTAATGGAAATTTTGAGTAGTTCGGTGAACTGGCAAATACCACCTCTGTCTGGCCCCAGAGTGGGGAGGAAATGGAGATTTTGCAGTATCCTTTCCCTGCCACGCCCACCAAGCCACGCCCACAGAACCGGTAGTAAAAAAAAATTGAATTCTACCACTGGATAAAAGCCATTTGTCTTGCAAGGCATTGAGCCATTAATTGTTTGTGTGTGTGTGTGTGTGAGTGAGTGAGAGAGAGAGAGAGAGAGAGAGAGAGAGAGAGAGAGAGAGAGCTAGAGGGGGAGAGAGGGAGGGAAGGAGATAGAGATAGAGATTATTTGTTCTTTTGGAATTCAGAAAGTAGCTTGCTAATAAATCTTCCTTGAAGCTACTGGGATCACCTGGAGAAATCTGACATTTAAAAGCAATCTCAGAAGGGCATTTAAGAGTACCAATGTTCTCAAAGAGCAGTGCTTGTTCCAGCAAAAAAAAAAAAAAAAGGTGCTACAGGGTTGTCCAAAATGTTTCAGTCCCCTCAGAGCATTTTGATCCTCTCTTGTAATAGAAAGCAGAGCCTGATTCTGCTCCTATTCTAAATTTGCATGACACCTTTGTCTATGGTTTACCATGATTTATTTATTCAACCCATTTCCCCAAGTTTATACGATATACTGAACCATAAACCGACAAGTTAAAGTTATGGCAGGACATCTTTGAGGTAAGGCATCTGAGGCTAATCTGGACTTTTGCGGGCCAGATCTGATAGTCCTTGGTTGTGATTTGTTCAGTAGTCTCTACCCAGGCCTACAGTCAGGCTGTGGTTTGTAGAAATAGGACAGCCAGGTGTTAATCAGGTACAATATCCAACAGCCTTGCTGTTAACTATGGTAGCTGTGCTTGCGGTGAGTTTCCTTTCAGCTACATCTGCAGGGCTGAATGGATGGAATATATCATTCCCTCCACTGGTGGGTTTCAAATTTTTTTACTACTGATTCTGTGGGTGTGGTTTGGTGGGCGAGGCAGGGGAAGGATACTGTAAAATCTCCATTCCCACCCCACTCCAGGGGAAGGATAGTGTAAAATCTCCATTCCCACTCCACTCCAGGGGAAGGTTACTGCAAAATCCTCATTTCCTCCAGATCAGCTGGGACTTGGGAGGCAGAGAATAGATGGGGTGAGGCCAGTCAGAATTTTTATTACCGGTTCTCTGAACTATTCAAAATTTCCGTTACCGGTTCTCCAGAAATGGGGAGAACCTGCTGAAACCCACCTCTGATTCCCTCCTATAAAACAACCAAGGATTCCAAAACTTTTTGGTTTCACATATTCCTCCCATACTTTGTTTCAACCACTGAAACAAGTCCTGGAGACCCTAATTTATAATACTGAATTATAAGTAACAGTTTACAATGTGAAATAACTGAGTTCAGAAGGGATTAAACAGTACAGTACATGTCATTGCATGAAATGTAATTCAGTTAGACTGGGACTTGTTTTGCTAACTGGCATCAAAATGCTATGGGCTATTCTGGTTTAGGACAGGAAGAGGGCACTTCTCAGATGTAAGAAACAAGGTGTGGACCAAAAGTCTATCTGGCCAAAGATTTTTTAAAATCTATATTGCAAATTGAATAAATAAGAATGATTTCCAATATTTATTTAGCTGGGATGCTAACACACACACACATCCCTGAACTGAATGGGCTTTATTATGCTTTTGAGGCAACATGTATTGCAGGAGTTGGGTCCCAACTCTTGCAAACACCTCCCCAAGCAACCTTTTTGCTGTCTCCTGAACTCCTTCCAATTGTACAACAAAAATTTCCAAAACTTGGTAGAATGGTTTTTGAGAGGACTCATCCCCAACAGCCTGGGCCTGTGTTCAATAGTGAATGGACACAAGGCAGAAAACATCCTGCCGAAGGCTCCACACCCATTTGCACTGCTCAGGACACAGATAAACCTCCAAGTGGCCTCAATGACTCTAAAAGAACGCAAATGACCAGCTGCCTGCAAGGAGTTAATCCTTCTGTTCCCCACCATCCAATCAGAGCCGAAGAAGCTTCTTGGGTAAGAAGTGAAATGTCTTCAAAGAAAGACAAGAAAGTCCAGTTGCCTCTTGAAAAAGCTTCTTTGGGACAACCATGACCTGGATGACTGAGAATATCCATAGACATTTTTGAGAGCAGGAATACATAAAATCTGTAGCATAAAGCACAGAGTATTACAGTATTTAGAATTGTGCAGGGTAATCTTATTAGAAAACATACTGGAAATAAGGGAAACCTATTAAAGAGAAGCTGGATTTGGCAAGCCTACGGGGAGTGGGATGACAGGTTGAGCTGGGCAGCATCAGAAGGTACAAATCTTAATCTCTTATCTTGACAGTATTACATGTGAAGTTCCAACTCTGTATTGTGAGGTTATGGTATAAAAAGTTCTGCTGCTTTTTTCTCCTGTTGTTCCATCCACATCAAAACAGAACTCTTGAATTCCTTCTTATTGCTATTTGCAGGCAGCCATCTGACCCAGATTTCTAAGACAGTCAAAAGCTGTTTGATGTGCCCCCTCAGCTGCAAAGGAATTACACAAAGTGCCTGTAAGTCTTAACCTTGAATAAAACTCTGGAGCAGTCAACTCTCTTGGAAAAGAGAAAAGAAATAAATGAGCTGGGAGACACGTGAATCCCATTTCAAAGTTCCAAAAAAGAACATGTCAGGTTACATTTGCACTTGTATGCAGTCTTCTATTAAAAGTGGCATAAACTGACTTTCAAAATTCTCCATCAAATTTGTGCACAAAGAAATAGGACAATTTCTTCAAATGCTTCCAGGATAAGTAGAAATTCCCCAAGAACAGAATTCCCTTCAGTGACAATAGAAATACACTATCACAACTCTATGGTAAGAGTTCCCTCCTAATATCATTCTTTAGGTTATAACTGAAGAATGTGAAGCCAAAGAAGACACAACTGCAGGAGAGCAGATTGTACAAGTAAAAACAGGGACATTCATACACATGCCATAGCCAGTGTGCAACTAGATAAGCATAAAGAATATCACAAAATAATTTCTCTGAACAAGTTTTCTTTTGTTAGATTGAATATTAAAACCACAGAGAAAATATTTTCCTGGTACTATGGAAATTTACAGTAGATGTATGTCCTACTGAAGCAGTAATAAACTCAGTATGAGTCATACAAGAGCAATCTTTAGAAGAAGGGATTATTGTTATTATTAATTAAATGTACGAGCCACCTACTTCCAATGGACAAGTGAAAATATTAAAAACAGGGAATAATAAAGTAAGATAGATAAATACAAGAATAAAAATTGGCAAGGGTAGCAAGAACCAGATGGGATGGAAAAGAAATAAAAATGTAATTCAAGGGGATGTCCGCCGCCAAATTCCTGGGTGAAGAGCTAAAATTTCAAGGCCCCAACAGGGTGAGGAGCACCTGAATCAGGGGGCAGGGGGGAGACTTTAGTCTAGAGGGGAGGTGCTGCTACAGGGAAGACACCCTTCCAGAATGCTGATCGATGGCTTTATTTAATCAAAGGAATTTTGAGTGTATCACTCCTGGCAGACTGAAGAGACCAGGCAGGTACAATAGGAGATGGCCATTAGCTTGACCACTAATGGTGTATATATTTACTACTAGGCCCACATTATATTTGTACAACATTTGAAATAGCATTCATAGAGGAAGACTCAGTCTAATAATTTCTCTTCCTCTAGATTTTGGCTCTAAATTAACATCTAATGAACAAATGAAGTTAGGTAAATTCAGAGCTGGAATAGGTATTCTAAAAGGATATAGGATTGATTAGCACAGATCTTCTTTCTTATTGCTCATAAAGAATGAGTCTCCATTTGATTTTGGTTAGATATGGGTTGCAAGGCCACCAACTGACGGGCATGAATGAAAGGAAAACTTGTTTATTTTAAGACAGGAATTGATCATAGGCATGTGTACGTTGATCTAATTTCAAAAGATCTCCCAAAATTGGTTCAGATTATACTTAGAATGAACTGTTCCTTTTCTGAGCAAGGGAGATAATGAGAAGAAAAGAGAGAGCAGAAGATGACAGATGAATAATAAAAGGAGGTATAGACATCCAATTTTGACCAGAGTCCCATCCACTGCTAGCCTTGCCCTTAGCCAGGACATGAAGACCTTGATGAATTGTTCCTGAGAAAATGCTAGCCTCAAGAAGTGAATTTTTAGCCAGGGTACTGGGAGTTCCTCTTAGTTCAAAAATGTGTTAAACAAACAAACAAACAAACAAACAAACAAACAAACAAACAAACAAGTTGTTCATTGGAAGAATTGTTGTTTTCAAATCTTGGCGTATAAGGAGGAAAGAGGTTAAATAATAAGGCAACAAGAATCACAGTTATATTCATTGGCATGTTTTTAGATAAAACAAATATAGCAATATTAATAGTGTATGTTAAAGAATTGTTTTTTTTAAACTCACGGAATATTTTCCCTTGGAAGATACTGATACATTCACATCTATAAACTTTGTCACATACACAAACCCTCCTTGCATGCTTTGCATTTTCCAAAAACACAGCTCCTATTCATAATCATGCTAGGATTATCTACTATATGTAAAATACAGCTGAAGCCATGCATAGGTTTTGCTATATAATTAATTTTTAAAAGTTCTAAAAACCCTTCTCAGTCTATCTATGTTAATTATTATGTGTGTAATTAAAATACAGTCACTTTAGTCCATCTGTGGATATGAGTTTCAATACCAAAAAAAAAAAAAGATCTACACAGTACAGTAGTGTTTATTTTTAGATTGCCAAAAAATATTACACCAAACAAGCCAACACTATAGCCTTCATGATAGGTTAAACATGGAGCAGATGTGGGAGCCAGTCTCAGGCTTTTAAGTGATCTCCTGCTGTGCAAATAAATATTTAATGTGAAATGGGACCTTCACAAGGCCATCAGTCAGATTCCTATTTAATTTCTAATTAGTGTGTTTTACATTTATAATTAGTATAATTCCAAGCACTGGTAGACAGATCTGGATTTAATAATCAGTTATCTTCAAGCCCCTTGTCAAACCCCATCATCAAAGTTAACACTGTACATGATTGTTGGTAACCAGGCGTGCCTCCTTCGTGTTCTGGAACAAATGTATTTAAGCAGTTGGTAGCTACATCATTTTTAGATTTAATTAAATTCCCCAAAGCGGTGCTATCTCAGGCCAATGTATGAAATTTAAAACCAGGGGGATCTTGCTGCCATCTTTCACTGGTGTAGATGCTGTGTTCTTTTCTGCTACTGCACTCCAGCAGTCAGCCGTTCTGATGATTTTAAGAGAGATTAGTGCTTTGTATACTAAACAGCACTTTGAGTTTGGAATTGGTCCTGCTACATCTGACCTACAAAATCGAAAACCCCAGGCTCCGAATGTCTGAAAGATCACTGCTGCCCTATTATGGACATAATACAAATCTATGGCAAAGCTTTTCAGGAGTGAAATGCTGGACTGGGTCATGGCCTAGATGCCAAAACTGAATGAAATCTGCTGATCACTCCTTTTTCTAAAATCTAGAAAGCAAAGTTCATTTCTTTGAGAGAAATGTTTCTACAAAGGACTGTATGTACATTTCTGAGGCCCTTACGGCAGGAAAGTTCTATGGTAAAAGAATAATAGTCATACCCAAATTTTCTTAGGGGGGTATTTAAAGCTACATGTAAAAAAAAAAGCTGTATAAATTAAAAAGACCTGTTAAACAATTGCACTTTTATTGCCAGAGTTTTAAAAGCAAAATGGACGAGAATACTGCCTTGCAAACGTAAACAGTAAAAGATATTGAATTGTTAGTGATCTACATATCCCTAACTCCCATATGAGTTTTGATTCAGTTCAGGCCATCATTTTTATAAGTTCCCTTCTGCTTTCTGAAATTAGATAAGGAGCTACAAGAAAACTTTCTCTACTGATTCAGATCATTTGAATATTCTTCTCAAGGCTTCGTATAATAAAATATCAGGAAATCCATTTGTTTTCCTTACCGGCCTTTGTGCAATTCTATTTCTACTATTTTCAGACTCTTAAACCATTTTAATCAATTAATTAAACATTTTTTTGTTGATAATGGAAGCTTTTTATGCAATGTCAATTTCTGCAAAAATTCTGAATTTTGAATAAATACGTCCTTGTTCTCTTATTGTATCTTTATCCATTGTAAACCTTCAAGAAGTGGTACGATACATTAATCTTATCCAATCTGCTGCCCTCCTGATCTTTGGATTTCAATTCGTGTAATGCTAAATCAGCATGGTCAAATAATGAGGGATTATAGAAGCTGACGTCCAACATTCCTAGACAATGCCAAGTCGGAGAAGGAGGGCTTCCACATTTTAATAAGTTGCCTTAGAGGTCAAGAGACAATTATTGTCTTACCTTTCATGGGTTCTAGGGTCACATCAAAACTGTCATTCTTGAATTCAGTCTTTGAGACTCCAGTATAAAATACAACATTGCCAGAAATATAAGCTGTTGCAGTGTAGCGTCTTGATGTTTTGTTTTGGAAAGTAATTGTGACATTGAAATCACTGCCAAGAACTGAATCTTCTATCACAACATTCATGTCAACCTCCGTACTGGATGAGACGTCCTCGGTTACAGTTTTTTTAACACCATACATTAAGGCCGTCTCTAGGGCCAGTCTTTCTTCTTCTGTGCCTGCAAAGTAAATAGATATTGGCTGCCACAATATGAAAATTACCAGCCACTAACTCACAACAAGGCTAAAATTTAGCTTATCTATGGCTTGATACCTAGAGATTTGCATATTCTCTGCTACATTGTGATCTAATTTAAACTGTACAAGCAGAAATACGCTGAAGGCTACTTGAGATACGAATCTTCTTCCCACCTTCCCTCAGTATTTTATTGGGCCTTCTGGTATAACAAAAAAAAACACCACCAATGACAAAAAAAAGACTACCAATGACTAATTTAAAGGAAACTAATTTTAAAATGCAGTTTCTTGCAATTAACAAAGCTGTCAGTCACAATGCTGGGTCCAAATAAATGATGAACTAAAGTTAATATTCTCAATACAGTATTGGAAGCAGGAGAGAAGTGAAGGGAAAATTTGTGAGTGGAAGGCTTGTTCTGGCTTGTATGTGTCACACAGAAACTAGGAACATAATTCAACTTTTATATTCCCTGATCATTTCTGACATGTGGCTTGGGAGTTAAAATCCAAAGGCTACTTGACAGTCTACTAATGTGCTAAACAATGTTAGTGCATGATATGTGAATATGAACAATATAGCTTGTATTGCTGCTTTATACCTGATTTGAAAATTAAGGGATGGCGCAGGAAAACATAACAACAAATAGCCTGAAATATTATTGTATATGGCACAGAGTCAAAAAGATGTGAGCAAGCCTTGTGAACACATATTAAAGAATACTTCAGAATTTTACATGAACTAAGAAACTGTGATTAACAGCTTAGAAAACAACTTCAAAATGTGGCTTTAAATACTTTTTTTTAATTAATCTCTTAGCTATAATTTTCTCATGGATGAAACGGGAACTTGTTAACTGGAAGATTCTTTGTTTCTTGATACATTACCCCAAAGTCTAGAACAGTGACGGTGAATTTTTTCAGCACCGAGTGCCGACACTGGAATGTGTGTGTGGGCACATTTGTGTGTGTGCACCGGAGCCTGGAAACTGGCCAGCTGGTCTTCGGATTTCCGGCACTCCAGTACACACGAAGACCAGCTGGCCAGTGCGAATGCATGTGCCAGAAACCGGAAGCACAGCTGTCAATGGCTCATGTGCTCACGTGCCATAGGTTCGCCATCACGGGTCTAGAAGCTCAAAAGGGACAGAGTGGTTGATAAGGGATGCAATTCTGTGGATAGTTCTGTGATACCGTTTTGTGTTATTTTGTATTAGGACCCAGGCATAACAGTAACAGAGTTGGAAAGGACCTTGGAGGTCATCTAGTCCAACCCCCTGCTCAAGCAGGAGACCTATATTAGGGATTCGACCCGCCGAATCGCCAACCTTTCTTGATCGACAAGCTCAGCATCTTAGCCACTGAGCCACCCGTGCATGTATGATTGAATTCTTTTTCTGATTGTTTATGTTCATTAAACACTTCAGCATAGTCTATACCTTTCCTTTTAATTTCTGTGATTCTACATTCCCTGTTTTCCTCTTTATAGGAATTCTTGCAATCCCAGCTTCCTGTCTCCTGGGCTGAAGCTAATACTTATGCTTTCCAACTGCTCATCCAGTAAAGATTGAGAATTCTGTGTTTGAATTTCTTTTCTTTCTTTCTTTCTTTCTTTCTTTCTTTCTTTCTTTCTTTCTTTCTTTCTTTCTTTCTTTCCTTCTTCCTTCCTTCCTTTCTCTCTCTCTCTCTCCCTCCCTCCCTCTTTATTTTCTCTCTCTCCCTCCCTCTCCCCTTTCTTTCTTTCTTTCTTTCTTTCTTTCTTTCTTTCTTTCTTTCCTTCTTCCTTCCTTCCTTCCTTCCTCTCTCCCTCCCTCCCTCTTTCTTTCTTTATTTTCTCTCTCTCCCTCCCTCTCCCCTTTCTTTCTTTCTTTCCTTCCTTTCTTCCTTTCTTCTACCTGTATCCAGCAACTCTGGGCAACTTATGTTCTCTCACTTCTGAATGCTTTCTATAAAATTTATTCTCCATTCCACTCTCCCGTAAAAACCAGGTACCCTAGCAACATGCAGTCATGGCCATAACTACTAGGAAAAGTGCTCATGTTAACATATCATCTTCATAACTCACAAGCGCTTTTAAACGCAAGAAAGAGATCTCTTGGCATTCTTTATTTACTTTTCTTTAAAAGCTCACCTTCTATCACATAACTGTCTGCCATAGCGACTACCCTTTCATTTATTTATTTATTTATTTATTTATTTATTTATTTATTTATTTATTTATTTATTTATTTATTTATTTACAAGCCCCACCAGAAAAATGCACACAAATGCACATACTGAGAAACGTGGATTATCTCAGGCGGCAGTAGTAGCTATTTGTACAGAGCAAGAATATGGAAAATTTTGGTTACTCCACATCAGTTTAGGGAGCAAAACACTGATTCTATACCATGGTTGGGTGGTTTAGGGGTGGGGAATTTTTGGTGGGTGGGGGTGTGTCTGGGAATTGTCTTGTGTGTTGGGCTTGGTCTCTGGGTGTTATGTGAATTTCGTTGTATGGGTATACTGTGTATATACGTACAATAACAATAAACTTTACAATCTACAATCTACCATTGATCAACTGATTGGTGCTTAGTTTTCAATGTTTTTGAGACTGCTAGAGTGGGAGACAACTGTGGGTAGTTTCAAACTACTTTGTGAGAAACTAGGAGATAAATATAAAGGTAGTGTCAATGTTATATAAATGAATGGCTTTTTATTTAAATTTGCCACATAATTACCTTCTTGAAATTTGTACTGCTCAGTGATATCCTTCATTTTATTTGAACCCATTTCCTTAGTCACAATTAATTTTCCAATCTGGGTTTTGTCAATGTGTTGAATCACTTTAGACCCATTCTTCATTGCTTTTGAATATATAACATCACTGTTCACCTTAAAAAAAAACATAGGGAAAAAAAATCAAATGTGTTTCTGTTTGGCTCAAAACTCAGTATAAGTTATTGCCTCTCAGATTTTGGGCCACAAATATGAATTCTGATCACATTTTGAGAAACTTGGCAAAAACCTATCCACAAGCAATCATTCAAAAATTCATCATTCCTGTAATGCTACAGTCCAAATAAGTGTTTTTTTCTAGGGGATGGTTTCAACTAGGTTTTTACCAGCCTTGTGACTAGATTATCCAATGCCGCTTGATGCAAATTTTGTTAGAAGATTTCCCTTTATATCTCTGCACGGGTTACTGCTTTGGGCAGTAGCTCATGAAGAGATGTAGTCAGCAGGCAAAGTGAATGTGCAAGCTTCTCTGAAAATGGCATTTTTAAAATTCTCACAAATGCTAAATAATTTATGAGAAACAATTCATAGTTTAGATGAGGGCCCACTTAAACCTTAACTTCTACATAGAAAATATATTATCTTGGAGGTTTTATTCAGTGCTGAATAAAGGTAGTTCTCCCTTAATGACAGGAATTGGGACAGGAATTTCTGTTGCTAAGTGACACGGTTGTAAAGTGCCATGTCAGGTGACCGCACCACTTTTAACAGAAATACTGCCATTCTCAGCTGTTGTCATTAAGCGAATTCCACACCATGCAACATCACATGATTACCATTTGCGACTTTCTGCCAGCTTCCTCATTGTCTTTGCTCATCTAAATCTGGCAAAGAAGGCTGCAAATGATGATTATGTGACTATGGGATGCTGCAACATTGCAATTACGAGATGGTCTCCAAGTACTTGGACTACAATCATATGACCAGGGTTGCTGCAATGGCCACAAGTATAAGAACTGGTTTAGTGACTATAGTCACTGAACAAGTGGCTCTTAGGCAAGGACCTACCTTTGCACTATGAAATAGTATGCTATTACTGTATAATAGTTACAGAATTATAAGCAACATTTTTGTTGTAATAGATTAGAAATCAACAAGCTTTTCAAATGCTAGATGACCAACAAATAAAAATGAATTTTAAATAAATTAATAGTAAAGAGTTACTTTAATCTTAATCATATTTTTGCTAAATCCATTTGAAGAAAAACCCCTTGAATAAATGCATACCTCTGCAAAAACAAAAGGTGCATCAAACTGGAAACAGACATGCCCATGCTTGATGGCTTGAACAGAAGCTGGACCGCATCGATACATGCCTGGAGGTAAACAATCAAATTGTGATCCAAGGTCTAAAACTTGTGTTTTAATCCAGAACCCAACCATCCTCCTTGCTTAGTTACTGTTGATGTCCAATCTTTCAATACCCTCTACTCGATCAGCTGCCAGCCTGAGGCCATGGCAAACAGCAAAGCTTTGAAAAGTTACACAATTAAAGCAAAGTCAATATGAATCACATTTACAGACATTTGTTAGAGTTCTTTGACAGCCATATACTGATATGCTAATATTTGTCTCTCCCAAAGAGCAAAAATAAATTCTCATTACACATACATGATCTCTAAGATATATTTACATTCTGGGAAAAAAATTGCTCAGGTCATAGATGTATTTAACTTACGTGATAATTGATTTTCTGTCTTTCTGTCTTTCTTGATTATTCAAAGTTCTGCAGGAAGCTAGTAATAGTTACCCATTCAATGGGCAAAAGCTAACACAAGTGACAGCCAGGACATTTAGGACCATAAGCTAATTTAGTATATTTGGGATTGATGATATAGTTTGGTCTGCTAAACTAAGTGCCATCTAAATAATTTAGTATTGTTGAGGCCATATCCTTAAATATATCTCCAAGGAAGTAAACCTCTTTGATCTTAGTTCTAAATAAGCCCATATAGTTTTTCTCATAGCTAAGATTTGGCCTATCTTTAATTTAGATGTCCATAACAAGCAACTTTGGGGTTTTTTTTTTTTGAAAACTTCAAAATTTATTTCTTAGACATTTGTAATCTCAGAAGTTAAACATATCCACCTCATTCATACATCATAGACTAGCAGGTTAAGCAAATCCAAGCATGTAGCTGAATTATTAAATGCCATTTCATTTCATTAAATTAGCAGACTTCATTTCTTCTGGTATTAGAATCTGAGAGATTTAGCTCCCTAATTTCACGTGGAACGTATGTCAACTAATACACAGCTTGGATCCAGCTTATTGTTTAGATCTAATGTTCTACATCGACTATATACTTGCTTTCAAGATTTGTTTCATACTCATATAATCTGAACATTTATTTAAAAGATACTGTGCATTTTCAATTTATCCATCATTTGTGCCCTTACAGGACCAGGAAATAAGGAATGTACATGCATGTAGTCAGTTGTAGCATTTATTCCATGTTTATGTACAAGAGAGTAACTCCACTCGCAATCCCAAACAAAAGCCACACCAACAAGAAAACAGAATAATTTTTTGAATGATGCTAAAAATGATACAGATATGGATATATCTGAAATTACAATGAAAAAATGAAAATGACAAACCACATTTAAGAGTAAATATTAAAACAATAACTGACATACTATCTATGAAGAAGTCAGATATATTGTGGTCTTAGCAGGGATGATGGACTGCAGCTCCCAGAATACCTGATCACTTTTATATTAACAACAGACTTGAAATATTTCAAAGTGAATTTTCCTGAAAATCTCCTCTTGACTGAAACAAATCCACCTGCACTGTAATTCTCTCTGCTGACATGGTTGGGAGTTGTTTTTGACGTGAAATGGCCTACTTATCTACCGTTAGCAATTAAGTCTGTCTTGTGCTGTTTGCTTCATGGTCCATCTCAACCCGTTTATCTGTAGCTCATTTTAACATTTCCCCAACTTTGTTCAATATGGATGTTAAAATCTAAATGTCCCCGGTTGTCCTACCTCTGATGTACATAATGATAGAGACTTTTTCTAACTTCAGGTGATTTTCAGTTTACCTTAAGGCAGTCCCCTTTCTATAAATCCAAATGAATTGTCTTGCACTTTTTTTCTTTTTGCACCTTTCTGCTTAGTTTTTGGATGACTTATTTAAGACCATAAAAAGAGCCTTGGTAGTACAGTGGTCTAAGGCACCCTGTTATTAAGCTGGTTATTAAGACCAGCTGCCTGCAATTACTGCGAGTTCAGTTCTTACCAGGCTCAAGGTCAACTCAGCCTTCCATCCTTTCTAAGGGTAAATTGAGGACCCAGTTGTGGGGGCAATAAGTTGACTTTGTATAAATATACAAAAGGATGAAGGCTATTGCTGAGCACATTGTAAGGCGACCTGAGTCTCCGGAGAAGGGCGGCATATAAATCAAATTAAAAACAAAAACAAAAAAAACCCCCACTGGATCAAAAAACAATAATAATACACGCAATTTGCACAGAATTTTATCTGACCTTCATATGCCGAAACATATGAGTATCAGGATCCTGCTTCTCAATCTGTGACTGATTTTGCCCTGTATGAAATTAAATGTCTGTTGATCTTTATCATAAGTTACTTTTTTTTGAGATACAGGTAAAGAGGAATTTCTGGCTTTGCTATAACTGGGATAGTGGCTCATTAGATGATGCTGAACTACAACTCCCAGAAGTCTTAAACAGTATAGTCAGTAAAATATGACTGCAGTTGCAGTTCAGCAGCATCTAGAGACCCATGGGTTTGGTCCTGGACTGCAGTTTAATTTAACAATTCAGTACAGGTAGTCTTTGACTTGCAACAGTTCCTTTAGTGATCGTTCAAAGTTAAAATGGCATTGAAAAAAGTGACTTATGACCATTTTTCACACTAATGGCCATTGCAGCATTCCCCGCCCCCCGGTCACGTGATCAAAATTCAGATGCTTGGCAGTTGACTCATATTTATGATGGTTGCAGTGTCCCGGGGTCATGTGATCACCTTTCGCGACCTTTTGACAAGCAAAGTCAATGTCAAAGCCAGATTCACTTAATAACTGTATTACTAACTTAGCAGCTGCAGTGATTCACTTAACAGCTGGGGCAAGAAAGGTAGTAAAATGGGGCAAAATTCATGTAACGTCTCACTTAGCAACAAACATTTTGGACTCAGTTGTTGTAAGTGGAGGATTACCTGTATCTAAGAAAATCTCCAAATCCTAGCTTTTGTCGATTAGACAGTGAAGTTTGTGAGGTTAGTGTCCTTTAAATATCTCCACTGTGGTATTTTTGTTTTGGTGAACTAGAACTTTGTCCCAGTTTAACTGGAGGACCTAAGTTCTGATATTATAAGAGTAGGAAAATGGGTTAAAATAATACATATGTTGTGCCTTTCCAGGTGACAACTATTCTGCTACATGAGAATTTCTTTAAATAACAAGCCATGTTTTGCCCTGCGCTAGAAAAAAGAAAGGAAAAGAGATACTTACCATCACTGTTTTCTTGAGGAGTACTATCTACAGCTTGCCAGCCACCAAAACCAACAGGAAGGTCAGGTCGGGCCATCCAAGCTTCATTCCAGCAATGATAGTTCCTTTATGTAAGAAAATAACAACAAAAGGGTATTCTTGACTCCAGATGTGCCATTTATTAACACTGAATAGTAATAACAGTACCTGTTCTTATAATGATTTCTCTCTCTCCCTCTCCTTTTCTCCCTCCCTATATCATCTATCTATCTATGACACGTCTAAAAGAATGACAAAATCTTTCTCAACTCATTTTTATTAATTTACTAATGTTCTTGTGACCTGACTTTCAGGTTTGTTTGCGTTTTTTTTTCCTTCCATTGATGGAGACTTGGTTCCTTGAAAGAATGCTGCTTGATACAGGTGTGCTGACACGGTGATTCCATTCACAAGAAATATTGCAGGGGTGAAATCCAGCAGGTTCTGGAGAACCAGTAGCAGAAATTTTGAGCAGTTCGGAGAACCGGTAGCAGAAATTTTGAGTAATTCGGATGTCAACGATGCGGCAAATACCACCTCTGGCTGGCCCCAGAGTGGGAGGGAATGGGGATTTTGCAGTATCCTTCCCCTGCCACGCCCACCAAGCATGCCCACCAAACCACACCACGCCCACCAAGCCACGCCCACAGAACAGGTAGTAAAATAATTTGGATTTCACCATTGAAATATTGCCTTCCACTTACTAACAAATCTTGGCATGTGACTATTTCAGTATTTGATAGCCATGAAAAACTTCTAGTGCAGTCTTCCCCATGCTGGCTAGGAATTCTTAAAATTATAGTCCCAGCAGTTCTGGCATATCTCAAATTGGGCAAGACTACGCTAGAGCATATTGAATCAATTGTCTGCATTCACTTGTGTTGCAGGAAGAATTTTTCTACTGTTTCTCCAACAATGTCCTAAGTGAGGATTAATGTTATGTACTGGTAGTATTGATAGTTGTGCACATCTTCTTAACAATTAAGCTTCTAATGTAGGGGTGTCCAAACCTGGCAACTTTAAGACTTGTGGACTTCAACTCCCAGAATTCACCAGCCAAGTCTTAAAGTTACCAAGTTAGGAGAACCCAGTGCATTCTTTTACTATAGTTGCCCAAATAATTTGATTCTCACACACAAAGAAAAGGAGGTCCCTTGTCAGGAAGACTTAGGATGTTTCACCTCAACAAACTTTGTGTATGTCAGCCCCACTTGGAACTACCTGTGCTGCACCGGATACACACACACACTCACGCTCAGACGAGGAATCTATCCGGTTTAATCATAGCTTACACGATGGTCAAACAGTAAGCTCTGAAGTTCTTTGGTGAGAAGCAAAATCGGAGACGGCTGTTTTTCCCGTGCCTCCGGCTTTATAGAAGGCCCTTCAAGAGCCCCTCCTTTGCTCTATTACAAATTTAAAATAACTGCGCTGCTTATCCCATTCTGGCTACCTACAGGTCGCCCTTACTTCCGGGTTTTTACTATCTTCTCCTGTCACTGGGATCTGACATTTGATGTTGATGGATTTATCCCTCCCCTTTTCCCTTATACCATCCATCACCTAATATCACCGTGCCATCCTACACGCTATAACGCCCCCTCCACCGTGTGTGTTCTTCCGGGTCTGTTCCATCTCATTCTGGATCTGCACAGATGCTCATGTTCAGGTGTTTCATATTCCCCAGGATATTGTGTCAAGGGGCTGTTTGACACTCGACAGTGTATTTGGTTTTTAGAAGAGGAGACACATTCATAAAGAAGGAGTACACTAATAGGAGAAAGCATTATTTCTTCCAACTCTGTAACAGAGCAAATCATATCTTAAAAATAGCTTGCTCAATAAATAAGATATGAATTGAGAGAGACTACCTAGTGAGCCGTCTGACACAACCTAGGTATCATATCCCTTTGCAGCAGTTGAAGGAAGGCCTGCTGCATGAAAAATGCCTCTTCTCAAGCTATAAAGTCAACTTGCGTACAACTACTGTGGATTAAAATAATGAGGAGAATTGGCCCTTGGAACAGAGGTTTAAAAGGTTCTTTGAAGTGCTGAAGTTCAGATATTGAGAAGACCCACTGGGATTTGAATCTGGAATTTTCAGATGCAACCTGGACCACCTTCAAAGGCTCAGGAGTGGTCAAGGCCTGATCAAGGAGGGCTAGAAAATTGTAAAGTTGCAGCTGGGACCTTTCTCGGCTGCAACATTTTTCTCTTTTGCAAGTGCTTCTGTCTGCCATTCAGTTCTGGCTTTCTCTCTTTGTCCACTGGTTAACTTTTAAGAGTAGCACCACCATAGCTCAATGCGTTTCTCATTTGCTCAGAATATTTCATAGGAAAAGAGAGAGGGAGACCTTATAAATGTCTTTCAATTGGTTTATTAGTGTAACAGAAAGAGTATGACTATGTTGAGAAAAAGCTGCAAAATAAGCTTCAAGAAATTTTTGAGCTATGACAGAATAACACAGGAGGGAGAAATGCAGCAATTTCCCGTTTTTTAAAAAATGTTCCCTTCCAGTACACAAAAAGCTAATTAGATTACTGAAGTAATTTTTAGCAGTAACATTTCAGCAAATATAAAGTTTGTTAAACTGAGACTATTAAATTAATAATGGGCAGAGGAAGAAAGGAAAACAGCAAGAAATCTGACTCTTGACTAACAAGGCATTTCAAAACAGAAATGAAAGCTGTGATAAGACAGAAAGTTGTCAGTCAGAGGAGTTAACAAAGCAGGATGCCAAGGGAAAAAGGATTTATCCAAAGAAAATGATGCAAACTATTTTTTTAAAAAAAATCATAGCTGGGAATGGTGTGTTGCTAACTTATTCTCACAGAGCCTTGCTGATGGTGGCTAATGGAGAAAATTGCTTAGAGGCGTGAACCCATAAACATTCCAATAAACGAGAATATATGTAACTCAATATATATGTATATGGTGAATTGCACAGTCCTTGAGCACCAAGGACTCCACAAACCTTTCTCCATCAAGGCAGAGATCTATAGCTCTTTCTCTTGTAATTCAGCTGATTCAACCATCTTTGACTTTGATGACCAATACAATTCTGTTGCTCCTATTTTGTCAGATCTGAATGAGTCTCTGTTCTTATTTTCTACCCTCAACATTTTGATGGCATTTTCCTGCTCATAACTGCAGATTTCATCACAAATGTCAGAAAAATCAGATAAATTGCCTAATCTTTGACCTATTACTTGCTGTTTATATGTACATTGTGAGCTTATGCAAGAGACAAATCCCTGTGTGTCTGATCACACTGGGTCAATAAAGAATTCTATTCTATTCTATTCTATTCTATTCTATTCTATTCTATTCTATTCTATTCTATTCTACGTTATGCTACTCTACTCTACACAAAAATCAAATTATTGTTCATTAACTAAAAAACTATTAATAATGATCAAACCATTCACCATGTTTAATAATGTAGCTCAGAATTGGGCAATCTATTATCCTTCAGATGTCTTAAATTACAAAGTCCAGAACATACAGAGATTGTGAGAATTTTAGAGTAAAACATATGGATGGTTTTAGCTTAATCCTGACATAAAAAACATGATAGCAAAGATTGATCTGAGTTAAAATCCCAAATGAGAACATTTTAAAATATTTATATGAATGATTATGGATTACTTCCATCTATGCAAAGACATTTTAATATACATACAATAAATATTTTAATAGTAAAAACATATTTCTGCAAAATCTAAAATATATTGTTTGATACACATTCTTTAACAAATATTTAAGATTGTTTTAACGAACTGATTCAGGATATAGAAAACTATTAACAACCCATCAACATCATGCTGCAAAACAATTTAAAGCAAGCTTTCCATTGAAGATAGAAAGCAAAGTAAATGAAGAAAAAGGACCCAGAGGAGAAAATCGAAAAAAGCTCCCACCATAAGTTAAATTAATGCTTGCCCCCAGAGGTTATGTGCATCATGTAGCAATAAATATACCATGAAGAGATGAGATTAAAGGGAAAGTTCAAAAAGTAATCAAGCCCCCAGAAGGCAGCATAGGGAGAATGCGATTTAAAACACTATGGAGCTTTTGCTTAGCTGATGTAGATTTGCAGCATTCATTTCCTTTTATAGTGGAATGGATTTGGGGGTGGGGAGGGATGTCATGGAATAAGTCCACTGAATGAAAAATACATGAAAGTATGAAAGATACCTGAAGGTGGAGCTTCAGCAAGCTGTTGTCTCCTGTGACTTAAAGGGAATGGCCAGAGGTAGTACTCTACAAGACATGGCTCTGAACACTGTAGATATGGGGAAGAACTACATATTGGCTGCAGCAGGGAATAAACTATTAGTAAGCTTTGCTCCAGTGGGGGGAAAAGGAACTGTAAATGCAACAACAAGTAAATAATTGGGGAAAGGAAGGAGAGGGCTTTCTCAATGGTGGCACCCTGGCTATTAAATTAAGTTTTGAGAGAGGCTTATCTGTCGCCTACATTAATCTTATTGCAACACCAAGTTAAGACCATTTCTGGTTTCCCCACCATTTCCATCTATTCCAGCTTGAAACTGTTACTGTTTGTTTTTATGCTGCGCCCATGTGCTTTATGGTGAGATATATTTTAATGGATGCATTTTTACATTCCATTCCTTTTATGAGCTGCCGGGAAAACTTGGTTATGGGCAGCCTCTAGCATGATAAATAAGCAGAACAGTAACAGAATAGGGGAAGTGAGTAAGGGCTGCCCCCGCCCTCAACAACGTATTTATGTGCTGAATGCGTATTTTACTCCTATCTCCTTTCCTTTGGGAGCTATTATTAAAATGAGAATTACACAAACGATAAATAGTATATTATATTACTATTCATTTGTTTTCCATTTTATGCTCTCTGTAGGTTCTGGCAGACAAAATCTCCCTTGCTTCCTCCTCTCTGATTAGAGTAATGCCAAAGGACCATACCAAAACACAGATACTGAACGAGCAATGCAAGTAAGAATATATAAACGCAGTAACTGAGCTTTGAAATAACCATTTAAAAATATATTCACAATGTTACTGAAATTGTGAGAGAGAGTTGCTGTATTTGTGCATTGTAGTAAGCCAGAATTTCAATGAAAGGGCAGGTTTCCTAGTGATTGCCACTCAGCTGCTCCTTGCAAAGTATGACCTTACATGGTTTGTTTATTAATGACATGAAAACTCCTACAAAGCCCAGAGTTAGAAGCTATGGTTTCTGACTTCTCTTCTGAGTGGGAGAGAAACACCAGGGATTGGTGTTCTGACACATCAGAAAAGACTTCTGCACTTGATTAAGGCACTCTTGTGTGCAAGATGGTTCAACAGGCACCATCAAGGAGCCCCAGTATATTTGTGGGAGTTAAATCAGAATCCTCAGAGTTTCACATCAGGCTAAACTCTGCTATACAGAATCCATTTCATACGGCAGCATCTTCACAAGCTGCATAAATAGGGAGCCTCAAATGTAGAGCAGGTTCATTCTGCTGTTCTCCGATATGTAACACATGGGATGGAATCATTACAGCTCTCTGTATAATTTTGGGATTAGAACTGCGTGGCAGTGAACTGATGAATAGTCTCTGGTGTGGGCTTTTGTTACATGTTACTTCTAAATCTGTGATAGCGAACCTATGGCATGAGCCGTTGCCCAGATCAGCTCCACCACACATGCCAGCATGCCTCCCGCCAGCCAGCTGATTTTCAAGTGGGGGGCGGGGCGCATGCGGGAGGCACATGTGCATGTGCAGGGGGTCTCACATGCATGCACAGGGGTGGTCTCGTGCACATGCATGGGGGTGGGGGAGCACGGAGGAGTAGTGTGCCCCCCATGCCAAAATGGGCCACAGGGGGTGCAGCGCACCACCCCCACTGCCCATTTTTGGTCCCAGGAGGCTTCAGGAAGGCTTGCCAGGCCCAAAACAGGCCGCAGGGGGTCACACACACACAAGCGTGGGGAGTGTGTGTGGGGGGTCACACGTGCATGCATGGGGGTGTGGCATGTGGGGGGCATTGCATTATGGGTGTGGCCACACATGCACACAAGCCCCCCCGCTCCCCCCACTTTTGGCACGCGACGGCAAAAAGGTTAGCCATCACTGTTCTAAATCATCCTATTGTTGTCTATATTGTTGTCTTCTCCCAGCACTCTTCCAGATACCACTGAACATCAACTTCCAATGGCCATGATGAATATCCTAGGAATATAGATAAGCAGCAACATGTCCTTCATTCCACCCTTTCTCGTTGTATAAGACAGATAACTAATATGGTCACATAACTATGACAAAAGCAACTGCAATTCTCCAGCAAACATACCAGATTGAATCTCTTGTGAGTTTGGAATCCACCTTTCCATATTCATCCATAAACACATCCATTTGTAAGTTGGCATCATTATCGTGAGCTGAAGAATAGTTAGTGATGACTCGTCCAGGAATTCCTAGACACCTCAAAACTGTGCAAATAAAAAATAAGAAGTGTTTTAAACAATATGACATTACAGGTTAAGCTGAAGATATACTGTATATAATCTGTTCCAATTTCCCAACATGGTACTCTACAAGTTGTTTTGGGACAACTCAATACTTCTCAACCAGTGTCTGGAACTATAGTGCAATGTTCACATTAAAACTAAAGCCAGTTTGGTGTCATGGTTAAGGCATAAGGCTAGAAACCAGGAGATTGTGAATTCCAGTCCTGCCTAGGCACAAAGCCAGCTGGCTGACCTCGGCCCAATTACTTTCTGTCAGCCCTAGGAAGCAGACAGTGGCAAACCACTTCTGAAAAACTTGGCCAAGAAAACTGCAAGAACTTCTCCAGGCAGGCTCTGAGAATTGGATGTGATTGAATGAAGGAAAAAGAAAAAATAATTCATTATCTGATGTAGTCCACCTCATTATATAGTTCTGTACATGTCTATATGCAAGGACTATTATTTGAACTGCGTTTTTATGCCACTTTTTTATCAAAGAAGGGTGCTCAAAGCAATGTATATCCTCTTTATAAATAAGCAATAACACTCCTTATTAGTAGTGCTAGACTTGGGACTACTGTAGGTATCTAAGGCTTGGCTAGTCCCATAGGAATCTGTACTGCATTTGAGAGTCTCTTCTTTGGTGCTCTTTTTGTTGGTTTATAGGGGAGCCAGTGGAGTAAGTCAGTTACCTAGCCTTGTACTTGTATAAACTGATTGGCGGGAGACATAAAGTTTCAGGCAATCTTCTTTCCAAAGCTCTGCTAACAGGAATTAGGAGCCCTCAATTATACTCCCAAAGCATCCATTTCATTTGCATGAAAGATTTTTGTTTTAATTGTCAATTGCATCTACATCTTGAGGGGTGAAAAAGATAATACGTTAGCCGGCTTACAGATATGACCTACTGCTAATTTAAAGGGAAACGGGAAGAAAGTGTGATGAAATAGCTGCCACACTAAGGAGTGTGATAGAGAACCCGAAACCTCACTGGGGCTCCTTAAAAAGCCTGCTAAGACCTTTGAGATTTGTTTTTGACAACACTGCAGTAATTCATCTTTTGTAGCCTATGATGGCTACAGTGCTTCATGAAGAAGAGTAACACTGCACATTTATTTTAACGGTTTGATGACAAATTACCTGGATACATCTACTATCCCATGCACTTATTGATTATGCTTAATACAAATGCCTTCCAACACTTCGAGCACACAAGCCCTCGGGGCTCATTGGAAATAATTCAACTGACAAGTTCAAGATTAATAGCTTTGCTCTTTCTTTTTTGGGATGTTTTAGCATATTTAATAGATGACTGTCCCCAATTTTTCAATATGGTAACCTTGGAAAGCTAAATAATTGAACTGGGAAAATGTTACATGCTTTAAAGAACTGAAAACTTAAACCAGAACTAATTGATGTTAGAGTGACTATCTAACCTGATGCTCCTCAGATGCATTGTGACCACAATTTCCAGAATTCCCATTTCACACTGATCATGGTTGATTGAGCACTCTGGAATTTGTGGACATAACACATCTGGACAGCACAAAAGCAAATGGGTGCTACCTGCTTACATAAAGTTTGCACTTTTCTATTTTCTGCCATCGAGTTACATGCCTTAAGTGTCTATGTTTTCAACTTTCTGTCTATCTGTTTAAAGTATTTACTTGCTCCTAGGCTGAGGGCCTAACAACAGGAAAGAGGTAAGAATCATGGCCTTTTTATTTGGTGGGTTTACATGCTTCATTTCTTGAAGTTCCTGTTCTATGGAAATGGAAAGATGAATATATTCTATATCAGTCTTTCCCAGCCAATAAAAGTGCTGGCTGGAAACGCACACTGAATCCAATATATGTAAGCAGCAACAGGTAGGAAAGGATTATTTAAGACAAAGCAATTTTTCTTCCAGACATATCAAAGTAATTTGCATCTTCTTTTCTTACTTTCCAAAACACTTCATATAGCGGTAGAAAAGTAAACAGAGTAGGAATGTTTTAAGAAACTTAAAACTGTTTAGAATCCATATTTGAACACATGGCTGGATTGTTATCTAAAAATATTTATGGAAATCTATTGAGAATGCCAATGGGAGTGGGTGTCCCCCACTGAATTAAATGGACTAATTCTTCATTTGACAATTGCACAATTTCACTGCAGAAAATTATTAGAGTATTATAGATTAGTTTTCATATGCAACTACAGGGGAGGGCACATAAGTCATAGATATCTATATATAGTTATCTGGCAGCATCTATGAATACTGGCAAGAGTATAATACAAGGGATACATATGAAGGCTGGAATTCTGCCAGCTGAGATAAAAACCAAGTGGGTTTTTTTTACTATATGTATCTTCCACATGAGAAAAAATATATACGTGTACAAAAATGTACATTCCAATGTCTTCACTTTCAAAAAAAAGTTGATGTCTGAGATCGTTAGGTTTCTGTCATATCACTGTACAGAAACAAAGACAAAGATTTCCAGATTTTACCTCCTGAATTTTAGAATCAGTAGTTTACACATATTTATTCAGCAGGTAAAACTTCAATAGATTCAAATTCAAATTTAGAACAGAGCTGGAAGGTACCTTTGAGATCTTCTAGTCCAACCCCCTGCTCAAACAGGAGATCCTATACCATTTCAGACAATTGGGTGTCCAATCTCTTTTTAAAAACCTCCAGTGATGAAGCACCCACAACTTCTGAAGGCAAACTCTTCCACTGGCTAATTGTTCTCAGAGTTATGAAGTTTCTCCTTAATTCCAGGTTGCTTCTTTCCTTGATTAGTTTCCATCCATTGTTTCTTGTCTTGCCTTCTGGTGATTTGAAAAATAAATTGACCCTCTCTTCTTTGTGGCAACCCTTCAAATACTGGAACACCGCGATCATGATACCCCTAGTCCTAGACTATGGATGAAGATTGCTCCTCTCCTTATAACACCCTGGTACCCTCCAAATTGGCCCTGCTTAAAGGAACTCCAGAATATGGAATTGCTACAGAAAAAAAATATGGAAATCCTGCTCCGCATAGCATAATATGGTAGGTAGAACACAATCCTTTAGGTGGGGAAAGCCAATGTATATGACCCATAGCCCATGCAGGTAGTTACATCTTTATATTCTTTGGTGAGTATTTGAGTACTAGATTTAATTTTGAGGGAGGTAATTGATTAATATTTTAGCTAGCTTGCTAGCTGGTATTAATGAAGCCATTCTCTCTTAGATTTGTGTTTATAATATTCATTTTAAGTTTATAACTGAGTGAGGCACTGAACATGATACATAGTATCATACATAGTAATACATAGCATATGAAAAACAGATGGAGTGGTTTTATTTAATGATGGAATAAAAATGATTTTGTCTACATTTTGACATGAACTTTTGCAGTTCTCATTTCCTGAATAATTATTAATTGGAACACATTTATGTTACCAAATATGTACTTCTCCAGATTTTAAGATACTCAGGAGAATTTTGTTGTTGTTAGATGCGAAGTCGTGTCTGACCCATCGTGACCCCATGCACAATGTTCTTCCAGGCCTTCCTGTCCTCTATCATCCTCTAGAGTCCATTTAAGCTCATGCCTACTGCTTCAGTGACTCAGGAGAATATACTAAAGTAATAACTACAAGGGGAAGACAGCTACAAACAGGTATTAACCCTGAATGAAAGAGGGTAGGCCACTAGCTGACTTCCATCCTTCACAGATTGAAATCTAATCTAGGAAATGCATGTTACAGTGAAAGAGGTCCTCTAACCCAGAGGTGGGGAACTATGGGTCCTTTATGACTTATGGACTTCAATTCCCAGAACTCCCATGCAGGCTCGGGAATTCTGGGAGTTGAAGTCCACAAGTCATAAAAGGACCATAGTTCCCCACCCCTGCTCTAACCCAAATAACCTCTTCTTCAGTGGAAGTCAGTTGATGGTAAAAAAAATAAAACAAATCTATTATCCAGGATTTACTATGTGAAGAAAATGCTATTTGGGCATCAGTTGCCAAGAACCAACTCTGTCTGTGGATTAGAGAGTGGAAACATGACATGGTCCATCATGACCTGTAGAATTTCACCTCTGATATACCGTCAATTTTGAGTGTGCTGCATTTGCGTGGCCAGGATGGTATAAATGCACTGCTGGTGTACTGTTCATCCTGTTGCCTATTGGCATGTGGATTAGCTAGGGTTTTTTTGTGGGGGAAGGTGAAGTTTCCTTATCATGGAGTTTTCAATATTCATGCTGACTCAAGTTTGCAGATTCAAAGGCATCTCAGAATTTAATGGCCCCTGATCTGTCCTAACTAGTATCTGACTTGCTTTTTTTTTTTTCTTCAAGGTGAGGTTGATACTTTGTTCAGGTAAAGCAGACACTTTGAAAGCACAGGAACTCTGTGCAGTTTCATCATGAACAGATCATTCCCTGGTCAGTGTTGGATTGGCAATCAATTCTTCCTCAGTCAGATTATGTAATAGATAGAATTGAGGATTTGTTTAACACCACAGCTGTTGACATCGCAAGCTTTGGAATAAGGTGCCAAGAATATGCTGATGCCACCCACTCCAAGAAAGCAGTTGTTGGATATTGCATAATTCAATAACATGTTTAACCAGGGAGAACAAACAGAAATTAAAACCCAGACAAAGCACATTAGTAAATCTAAATTAGACTTGGGGTTTAAGATTCAGGGGGATGGATGAAATTGCCCTTCCCTAAAAAAAGATGGCCACAGTTCAAGGAGAGAAGCAACCTGGAATTAAGGAGAAACTTCCTAACGGTGAGAACAATTGACCAGTGGAATAATTTTCCTTCAGAAGTTGTGGGTGCTTCATCACTGGGGTTTTTTAAGAAGAGACTGAATAGTCACTTGTCTGAATTGGTATAGGTCTCCTGTTTGAGCAAGGGGTTGAATTAGAAGACCTCTAAAGTAACGTCCAGCTCTGTTCTGATTGATTGATTGATTCTAAACTCTTGCTGGATATGCAGATGATGTCTGGGTAGCAAAGAATGTACCATTACAGCTAGTGTCAAAAAAACCCTAACAACAGTTGGATTTTGATGACAGCGAACTATGTCTTCGTACATTCTATTTTGACTATTCCACATACTGTGCTTTACACCTTCGTCCTTGAAATGTACCTTGAATTTTAAATTGGTACAATTTAGTGGCAACAAGGCTGATAACTGCTACAAGGTGAGGAATTATAGGGTGTCTGCACTGAAAGATGTTACTTATGGCCAAATGTTTGGTGGGCAAAATTTAATATGAACATCTTTTTAAAAAATTTTTTTACTAACAATCATTTGGCAATTAGTGCAATTTTAAAATTCTAGTTGGCTTAGGAGCTGAGTATCTGTGGGAATATCAAGATTATGAACATGTCTGGCCACCAAATCCTGCAAAAGATGCAACTTGCAAAAAAAAAAAAAAATTAAGAGCTGTGGTGGTGCAGTGGTTACAATGCAGTACTGCAGGCTACTTCTGCTGCCTGCCGGCTGCCTGCAATTTAGCAGTTCAAATCTCACCAGGCTCAAGGTTGACTCAGCCTTCCATCCTTCCGATGTAGGTAAAATGAGGACTCAGATTGTTTGGGGCAATATGCTAACTCTGTAAACTGCTTAGACAGGACTGTAAAGCGGTATATAAGCATTGTGAAGCAGCATATAAGTCTAAGTGCTATGGCTATTGCTATCTGCATATCAAAAGTTCAATTCTTTGTCCTGTACAAGAGTTCCTTACATAATTCCTAGTTAATAAAATTCCTCTGTATTTAGGAAATTTATAAAGAAATATTTTCCTGCTGGACTTTTAATTGTTTATTTTAAGGGGCTTTTATACTTTTTGTATTTTAATCAAGGGTAAGCAGTTATTGATACATATTTGAGCAGAGATCAATCCATTAATAAAGCATAAAATGTACTTATGTTGAAGTAATTTGGGAAATATGGGAAAATGTACTTCTGATATGTAGGAATGAAGACATGTACAATAGAACAAGCTATTGGAATAGAAGAAAAGTAGAAATAAGGCTGGTGTTTTATTTTGTTTTTTGATTGGTTACTGTATTTTTCAGAGTATAAGTTGCATCTTAGTTTTTGGGGAGGAAAATAAGAAAAAAGCTGATTGGCAGGTGGATTGCCTCCTGGAATACCCCCAATCAGCTGTTCCCAGAGGTGAATTTTAGCAACAGATTCCTTGATTGTGAGCTCTGTGCCTTGCTTTTTTTTTTTTTTTTTGCTTTTTTTCCCTGCCTCTGAAACTTCTGAAACTCTGTTTCAGAAAAAACTTTTTCCTGCCTCTGAAAGCCTCCAAAATAAAATATATTCAGAATAAAAGCCTCTGAAGCTTTGTTTGGGGGCTTTTTTTCCTGAAACTCTGTTTGGGGGCTTATTTTCTGAAGCTTCGTTTCTGATGCTTTTTTCAGCCTCTGAAATCTCCATTTGAGAAACTGGGCAGGGCTACATTCGGAGTATAAGACGCACCCAGATTTTCACCCTCTTTTTTTGGGCAAAAAAGGTGCATCTTATACTCCGAAAAATACTGTAATTCCAAGCTTAGTGTTCACTTCAATTCTCGTAGTCCAATGTATATTAAGTAAATTAATTTTAACAGGTATAAGGAACTTGTAAACCCTACTGAATTACGACTTTCATCATCCCTCATCATTGGCATATTTCTGAAGCTGCCAGAATTTACAGTTCAGCGACATCTAGAAGATGCCAGATCCTCAGCTCTGTTCTATATAAACTTTAATTGTTATATTTTAAACAGAGATTAATTATATTCTTGGTACTACATGCACATGAATAATATTAAATATCAAAAGGTGCTGGGGGGGTGGAAATCTCTTCTTTGGAAAGGACATCAGTGTATTAATAATATCATTCTTTGTTGCACATTTTGTCTCATACTTACAAGTGTTGAAAACGCCAGCAAAAACCCAGCACTGCCCATATCGCACTGGCTCCTTAGAACTAAAATACTCCAATAGAATGTCTACACTTCCTGTCCAGGACGATGGTGGTACTCCATATTCATAAATGTTGTCCCAAGACCCATAAACCACACCATTATCATCTTTAGAATTGATCTGAAGAATAAATGAATAAATTGAGTCATTGCTGATGTTAATCTCCGTACAGACCAAAAATATTTAATCTATGCCAATTATAAGTTATTGTAAACATTACCAGAATAATGTTAGAATAATTATATTAAAAAAAACAAAGAAGATACAAAGATTAACATTTTGATGCAAACAGGGAAGTTGGATTACATGTTTATTTTGATGTTGGAAGTAGAGAAGGGTTTCTAATAATAGTGAAAGAGATTGAGCTGACCCAACAGCTAAAAATAGGTGCTTTACAATTGAATCTTAAAGAAAACTTAGTCTTAAAACATTAAGTATTATGCAACTACAAGACACTCCACATTTTTCTGGAGAAATAGAGAATGACTACTCAACAATGAGGACCCAGATTGTGGGGGCAATAAGCTGACTTTGTATAAATATACAAAAGTATGAAGGCTATTGCTTAACGCATTGTAAGCTGCCCTGAGTCTCCGGAGAAGGGCGGCATATAAATTAAAGCAAAAACAAAGACAAAAAACAAAACAAAACATTTTGCCCAATTGATTCTTATTAGTTCTTAAGGCAAATCTATATTAGATTCTGATTTGGCAGGTATTGCTGAGTTAGCTTGGTTTTTAACCTAGCAAGTGTTTGAGCCTGTGATTCCTGAGAACATGGGCAGGATCCTCAGAACTGTTAGTTCAGTCACCTACTTATAAGATCTATTACCGTGGTTTGTTAAGATTTCCTGGGAGATGACAAGCAGTCGGATCCATAAAATAATAAATTCAGATATGAAGCAGTACTGTGTCCCCTCTTTAAAAAAAAACTATTGCTAGATCCTATGGCTCTGGATAATTTTTATCCAACTTCCAACTTTTTCTCTGGGGGTGAGATCAAGGAGAAGCTGTTTGGATTAAGGTTCCAGAATCCCAGAGAAACAGATGGTTTGGATCTGTTTCAGTCAAGTTGCAAGCTGGGGCATAGTATGGAGACAGTGTTTATCATACGTGTTGCTGAATTCTGGTGGAACTAAGATGGGGGTGGTCCTTGTTCTTCTTGACTTCACGATGGCTTTTGAGTCTTTCTGGACTAGCTTCTGGACTAGCTATGGGATCAGGAGTGTTGCAGTACTTCTTCTCCTTTCCCCATGACCAGATCTAGTCAGCAATGATGGCTGACTAGAAGACCAGCCTGAGCCAATCTCCTAGTTGCAGGCTGTCACAGGGCTTGACACTCTTGCCTCTCCTGTTAACTTTTACATGAAATAGCTAGAGGAGGTTGTCCATCAACATGGGGTCCAGTATTATTAGAACATTGAAAGTACTCAACTGTTTATCTCAAATTATGATGGGGAAATAATGTCTCAGCACTTGGAGGCTGTTGGTCTGGAAATGGGATAACAAACTCACATTCAAGTCTGACAAGTGACTGTGGGTAATAGCAATAGCAATAGCACTTAGATTTATATACCGCTTCATATTGCTTTTACAATCCTCTTTAAGCGGTTTACAGAGTCAGCATATTGCCCCCAACAATCTGGGTTCTCATTTTACTGACCTCGGAAGGATGGAAGGCTGAGTCAACCTTAAGCCTGTGAGATTTGAACTGCTGAACTGCAGCTAGCAGTCAGCTGAAGTAGCCTGCAGTGTTGCACTCTAACCACTGCGCCACCTCGGCTCTGTACATGGTTCTTCACATACTAATGATTGTCCTAGTTTATATTTCAAGCACATAGACCAAGGGTGTCAAACTCAAGGCTCATGGGCCAAATCCGGCCTGCAGGGTGCTTAGATCTGGCCCATGGGGGCGCCCTGGAGACAGTGAAGGACTGGCCCGCGGTGCCTCTGCGACTGAAAACAGAGTTCCATTTTTGCTGGCAGAGGGTTGCAGGAGGCTGTCGCAGCTGGAAATGGAGCTCGGGAACCCATTTTCACTGGCAGAGTGCTCGGGCCACCATAGGTGCCCCAACATGAGTGACGTTGAGCTGGCCACGCTTACCCTGGCCATGGCCCCTGCCCCCTGAGGTCAAAGACAACTGTGATGCGACCCTCAATGAAATCGAGTTTGACACCCTTGACATAGACAGTTGTCAGTGTTTGTTCAGTGATGATCAAACAAACATCAGGCAAGCAAAGAAGCATAAAACTTTGGACCTCCTGATTCTTCAGGTCTTTAAATGATCTTTAAAATCTTGGAGGTTACCTCAAGTGGTGGCATGAGCATGCCCATTTGATGTGCATAGTTTGTCTTGGATATGGTATGTTACTCCTCATGTTTAGACTCCTTTGTATTTTAATTGGATTTTCATTGAACGATACCCAGAGTCAACGTGGCTTTGACAGCCTTATAAATCCCCCCCAAATACTAAACATGTCAAAGCCTTCATTTAATTCTTGGAGTTGTAATTGTATAATAGGAAATATGACATCCCACAGCATCTTTCCCCAGTCTGATGTGCTGGACTTACAATTCCCCAAATTGTCAACTAACATGATAAAAAATTCTGCCATTAGGGATTTTGAGGTTTAGAGTCCCCATATATTTGAAAAGCAATGAGTGGAAGGATAATCTATGCATGGGTTAAAAAACACCTTTTTCTGTCTGATATAATGCTTTAGAAAGAGCCTGCAACAACTTCAGTGGCTCTGTTACATTTAAGACCACAAGCCATAATTCTGCCTTCCAGGCCGTGCTGCCCATAGGGTCAAGGCATAACTGCCAGTGTAAATTCACCTGCATTTCTCTTGACAAGCTTGAGTGCACAATATAAGGATATAAAATTTAAACAAACGTGGATGGGGATTTTCCTACATATAATTCCCACATTATACACTGAGCTTCAGTTTCTGAGGGGTTCCATATTACATCAAATTGGTTCTGCAATTCAGGTCCAAATCTATAATATTTCAGAAAACAAATATTTCTAGAAAAAGAGTATTTTACAACAAAAAGGAAAAAAGGGGTCATCTAACTCATATTTGTTCCAATGTATTTCCCCACAATCTCATCCATTTCAGCCTATGTTTTCATAGCTAAGGGGTGAGTTAAAAGGAAATAACTAGGTCTATTGTGGGTTGCTCATCACAAAAACAAGATTTTGCTTGTCTAAGTTTGCTGGAGGTGAAGTAACAGTTTTGCTGACTAATGACTAAATGGAAAGCTATTAGTGAGCTATGCATTTCCTCCCAGCAATTTGAACCAAATCAGTGGAGGTAATGCAGAAAAAGCTTCCTTGCTTTCTATTGCTTTCTCGTTTGCTTGTAATTATGTTAATACTGAGCTGCTACATTCTTGTCAGATAAATCATGACTTTCATTGAAAAGCTTTTGGCTGGATTAACTACTAGTTTCTAATTAGAAAATCGACGTACTGTGAACCCCGAAGTTGGACGAGATAAGTATTTAGTAGGTCTAATAGGTTTAGGTAAAGACCCTTGGCTGTCTTGAAAAACAGGCCAACCTAAGACATGAATAAGGTGGCATATTTATATTACAAATGTTTGTCATATACTCCAAAACCTACCATGTCGCTACCAAATCACAAACTTGGAAGATAAGAGGAAAGCTGGATTAAACCTTTAATCATCTATACTTTTTTTTCCAGACTAAAGTACATTTGTGACACTATTTATGGACACACCCATAAAATATTTGCAGATATTTTTAGTTAGTTCTTACATAACAAGAATTACTCTTGTTATATCATAGCTATTGCAGTTTTAAGAACAGAGACTGAACATAACGAATAACAGTTTATCTCAGGGTATTTGCTGAAATCATGTTAATGAAGGTTCAAGATGGGGATCTCCTGATTATTAACTACAATGCTATAGCAACTGAAGACTGTATTAAAATTCAGTAACACGGGTCAGAGCTGGACTTCCATACAAGTGATGTGGGTTAGGCCAATGTGATACTGGAAGGCAAAATTAAAATTGATGGTCTGGTTGGGGAAAGGTTAATGGTGGAAATCAATATTCCACCATTCACATCCCACTGCAGTAAAATGGGAGTGCAATATGGAAATGGTCTTACTTATTTTAATAAAAACAAAACAACAATGGGGAAAATTACAGTACGGAATGTTCGTACTTTTGGCTCTGAATCTGCGCAGTGCAATTTTGAAATGATTCAAGAGCCACAAAATGGAGAGGCTTATGAAGTCCATAAACAATATGGTGTCCCACTTCTGTTTAATTCCAAGCTATTTTATCTGAAAGTCTTGAGGGATATCCTAAAAAATATTGCTAATTAGTTAAATGAAATGATAGTGAACTGAGGCAATTTGGTAATTCACCAGAATAGAGATTACAAGGGTGATCAGATGCAAAGAAAGGCAGGTTTCTGATGCCTTGAACAGTAGAAGAGAGAATTTGTTAGGGCACTCCTGAAGAAGTTCATCCTTCTCTCTTTAGGAAATACTATCTGCCTGCTATAATTACCAGTAATTATAATTACTATACTTCATCATATTTTCTTCTGTCATACTAACAAACTAAATTCAACACTAAAATGCAATCCTGTACTAAATCATTTAATGATTTTTAAAATTAATATTAGTTATGGGATGATAAGTTTGATGTGATGTAAAAAGTGTTATCCCATATAAAAGCAGGATATACATCTATTAAATAAATGAAGTTGTGTCCATGTTTAAATAGCAATGCCATGAACTGGAGCAATTCTTTAGGTCGTAGATCATGGGAACAGAAGATTTAACATTCCCCACCACCAACCCAATGAAAATCTCTTCCCCAAGGTGTTATGGGTTCATCCAGCCCAGACTAATAACAGAGGAAGACTTTGCTTTAGAACTGAAACATCAGAGGAAAAGGTTAGATCTTCCTTTCATGTTTGCACCTGACAATGATAACAAATACAGTAGATATGGTTTCCTAAAACATGGTTAGTGTGGGATTAATTTGGACTATAAAGAAGAGGTTTTAGTGTGTTTCATTGTATTTTCAGAACCAACTCATGGTTGCTGCAAAAAATAATTTTTCTAGCATTAATTGGTTTCATGCACATACGTTTTACTGGAAAATGCACTTATTATGCCCCAATGAATGAGTCTTCTATTGTGGGGAACTAAATTGTTAACTCATGCTCAGCTGCAAATATCTCATAGTCTTCCACCTACCAGGTGCAAAATAAGAAGTTTAGAAAATTGTCTGAAAGTTACATTTTTTTAGAAATCTGTAGGAAAATTAAACCATTCATGGTTTAATAAATGTTTTGCATATAGATATATGCTGCCACAGGGCAAAAAAATCTAAGTATATCTAGAATTCCTTTTCTCCACTGTGGGGATATTAGTTCACTATTCCTGTTTATAGAACAAGCTATGGGAATATATAACTTCTGCTTACAGAATACTTTTTTAATGCCACGTAGATATTTTAAAGAATTTTGTCTTGAATCTTCCTATAAGGTTCTAGGCACCAGGGACAACCTTACCTGGTCATGTGATCATTCCAGGAAGCCCCACAAAAAAGAAGAAGAAGCAACCTCAGCTTGGACACCCATAAAGTGAACATGAATAGCGTTTGATGTGAAAAAGAGGGAAAAGCCAAGAGACTCACTCTACTACTGAACTAGTGAATTGGCAACCAGGTTTTTAATAAATTGACCAAAGCAGAGATCTTCCTTGAAAACTAAGTCACAGAACAGAACAAATTTGCCCCAATCCATGTAGTCCTGCTATATATTTAAGTAGAGTAAGAAAAAAAGATTGTAAATAGATCCCAAATATTGCACAAAGTATATGCTTATTACATACCATAGCAGAGCCAACACGGCTGATTTTGATAGGATTCCCTCGGCCAGAGAGGTCCAGTTGTGCTCTGTCCATCAAATAGAGGCAAGCATCCAAAATACCCTCTTCAAACTATATAAGAGAGAGAAAAACAAAAATATAGATTCATCACCTATTTTACATTAGCAAAATAAACAAAAACAGGACTTCAGCAAGGTTTTAGTTCCATGTTGGAAATGCAATATTTCTGTATACTTATAACTTCTGCTGAATTAGTACAGAAAAAAGTACAAAAATGTTATATAAAGTTTTTGTTGCAATATTTTCAGGATCAGACTCAATAAAGATAATAGAAGTTAAAGCTTTAAATATATTTCTTTTTAATTATGATAGGCATTCTATATTCACTGAATATTCAAGGTAGAAGCAACGAGAATGGTGAGGGTGGCTCCTTATATATACAAGGGGTGGAGCTAGGAATGGGAGTGGTAAGTTATGAATACATTAAAGTCCAAAGAATAAGTTAACCTCTGATGTTCCATATATACATTATTTACACATTGGAGAATAAGGCATTTACATCTGACAGTTTTTAAGAACATAGCATAAACATTTTTAACATGCTAATGAATAAGCACTTGCTCATGAATAAGCAAGTGACAGTAATATTTTCACCATAGGTGAATCTGTTGCAAAATTATTGTTGTAAAATTTAGATTAATTTCTGCTTGTTTTCTCAATTATTTTTATTTATTTATTTATATCCCACTTTTTATTATTTTTACAAATAACTCAAGGTGGCGAACACATCCAACACACCTTCCTCCTCTTATTTTCCTCACAACAACAACCCTATGAAATGAGTTGGGCTGAGAGAAAGAATAACTGGCCCAAAGTCACCCAGTTGGCTTTCATAGCTAAGGCAGGACTTGAATTCATGTCTCCCGCTTTCTAGCCTAATATCTTAACCACTAGATCAAACTGGTTCTCTTAACTTAATTAACCACAGGATAATTATGATTATTATCTGAATCCTGAATCATTTTAAATATTTGTAGTTTAAGGAAATCAGTTTTATAAGCCATTATTTGAAGTTGACTTGTTCTGGAAAACCATAATGCACTATTAAGATTTGTTGAGTTCAGATAAAACTCAATGTTTTGGCATTCTTTCAGAGTATGAATATTCATGGACTGGAATAGATCAACCAATGGGGCTTGTTTTGGAAATAAAAACTTAAGGAAGAAGTCTGGATGTGGCTTAGGCAACTGAGTCTGTGCAGAGAATTGAAACTGAAACTAAGCAGTCTGTGCTTGTTTGCTCTGCTAAAATGAAACTAACTGTTCTCTCCTGCCTTGTGTTCTGTCTGTAACTTCTACCATGTTGGTAAAAATCAACTGTTGGTATTATAAATACTTAATCGGTTATCTATATAAATAAAAGCGAAAACCACTCACTCTGTAATCACAAAATCTCCATAACTGTAAAGCCTACAAACTCGAAATTTGACATGTATGTTCCTCTTGGCTTCTAGGTGCTCACTAAGAAAGGATTTTTCAAAATGACCATCAGAGCACTAGTATTTCCTATATTATTATTAACACGCTCTGATGCTAAGGAGTTCTACTCCTCCTCCCCACCTGAAAAGAAATCTGTTCCAAATTCAAAACACAAGCAGAGGAGAGGAGTTTCAGTTTCAGTTTTATTTTCACAGCAGCAAGCAGCTTTAATACAGAACACTTGAGCTAAGCCATGGCCAGGCTCCTTCCTGTCTCTTTCTTGCTCACACAGCAAATACTGTTTCACTTTCCAAACAGCCCTCTGATGCTAAGGAGTTTTACTCCCCGTCCCCACCTGAAAAGAAATCTGTTCCATGCTCTGATGCTAAGGAGTTCTACTCCCCCTCCCCACCTGAAAAGAAATCTGTTCCATGCAAAACACAAGCAAAGGAGAGGAGTTTCAGTTTCAGTTTTGCTTTCCCAGCAGCAAGCAGGGGATAGGACAAGGGAGGCTTCTGTGGGGCAAGGCTGAGGGAGAGAAGGGGATAGAAGAAGCTGGTCATAACTACTGATTAATTTTCAAGCTTTAACTGCAATTTATCAAGCCCCATCACATAGTTTCGAAGCGAAGCACGTGTGTCCAGCTCGTTATATATATAAAGAAGTTAATGAATCCTGCTGAATCAGTTATCTGTCTGTGCTTCTGGATTTGATTTTGCAAGAAACTCTGATACATTCTTCATGGCCAGATTGCAAAAGAAGTAGACAATCCTGAAGACAATTGTGGTTCACCCACATTACATTGAACTATGGTTTGACATAGCATCCAAAAGCATCCATTGTCTGCCTCAACTTTGTACCAAAACTCTTTGCCATTTCTAGTTTGTTTCTCTATTGATGTTATTAAAACAAAGGCATGGATTTACTAAAGAATACTAGTAACTTAACTCTTAATGAAGTAGAAAACCAACAAACTTTTCCAGTACACTGATAATTTTCCAGTAAACTTTACATCATTTCCAAAAAGTAATTAAGGGAAACAATTCTGGACTTAGTTGACGTATGTTGAAACATGGCCAAACTTGCATATCACACATAATGGTGAAGTTTGCATTGGTAAACAAATTCTATTGTAAAGTTGGAAACATTATATTTTAACTTTTAAAGATAGGTTTCATACTGCACATGGACCTCAAAAGATTGAAAACTTCTTCTTTCAACCATATGTGCATATAAATGAAAGCAGAATAGATTCTTATTTTATGTTTATCTTCTAGGTTTTTCATGCTAAATCATGAAACTAGAACCTAGAGCAACATTCAAATACCAACATTATTAATTTGGAACTGAAAATGGCATATATGGTTGTCTTCTCTCACAATCAGCCTATTGAAGTAAGAAAAAAGAACTGCTAAAAGTCACTCAGAGAATGTGGTGGTTGAACAGGGGACTTGTGCAAGACAGATATATTTTAATGTATCCATAGCTATAAATCATTTTCATAAGAATTATATAGTTGTTGTTCTTGACTATGGATAATATGGCTTAAAGCAGCAGCTGCTGTGACAGCCAGAGGTGTCAGTAGTTACCCAAAATATTAAAATAAAATCACATATTCCATGTAAACTTCAGGACTAAAATATATTATATATTATATATTATATATTATATATTATTATAATATATTAAAATATATTATGGTATATTGTAGAAGGCAGTAATATTTTCGTTCTAGCTTTCAATCATGTCTTATATTGTTAATACCAAGTTGGAGTCCAACATGTCTTGCAGTGTCCTGAAACTATCATCTTTGAAAATGAACTCTGGAAAAAAAAAGACTAATTCTGGGGCCCAATAACAACAATGTCAGGAATAAATAGGGGGCAGAAGTGCCTAAATAGAACAGAATTCATTACGAAAGAACCTGCCCTATGGTACAGTTCAATTTGCTCAGAAGAAATTGCATAGCAACCAAAAGATGACGCTGTCAATTGGAAGACAATCGCAGAGATGGCGGTAAAGGCACATGACTTCAATTACAAGCTGCTCTATGTAGTGATAAACAAATGAGGTAGTGATATTTCCCTTACAGGCTGAATCCTAACAATTTTTGAAGTTTTCCTTTAAGCATACAAATTTATTCTCTTCTTTCTTTAAAAATGCTAACTGTCTGAAAATAGCAACAATGTATAATAGATTGAATCTGTAATTTGTTAGGATATAACACAATGGCGAACTCTTTAATACACTTGGACCAGGTAGGAGAAGATGCATTTATAATTGGTCATTTCTTTGCCTATGTCATCCATAGTTTTTTAAAAATTCTTCTTCTTTTGGTACAGAGCAGAATATCATTACTAAATAATGAGTTATAACCTCATAATATGAAGCTTAGTCCCAAAGGAGATGCTCCCAGAAATATCTTCAAAAAGCTGGATGTTTATCCTTAAGGCTGACTCACATATCTCAATAGTGTGCTCTTGTAAATTATGGAAAAAGAATACTCCCTGGAAATCATACTTTAGAGAGGATGGACAGTAATACTTATACTAATGGTGTTTTCAGTATTGAACATACAGATCCATTTTAAATGTCGAAATCACCTGCCTACTAAAGCAAACAAAAAAAAAATTCCCATATAGCTTTAATGATAAATTCCTTTATTATGCATGAGTATTCATAGACAAGGAATTGCTCCATCAGATGCGTTTTTTTTAAAAAAAATTCAGAGTTGTGGCTGTTCTTAAGTCTGATTGTGTAAGTTCTAGTCATCCCATCAATTATGTAAGTTTAGTCAATAAACATGGATTTGATGCCCAGATATTGCCAAGTGTGTTTTATAATGCATTAATCTTCCTATATTATCAACTTAGTTGGGTCACATAAATAGAAGAGAATATAAGTTAGAGTATTCTCCTTTAGAAACCAATGATCCATCAAGATGACACCTCTGTCTGGCAGTGTCTTGTTTCCAGGCTGCACTGTATTTTTAAACACTTTGAAGAATTTACAGCTCCCTATTCTAATTCTAAGGTCTGCCTGTTGCAGTACATCTGTAGTAGTGTTTACTGAAGGGTAGCAACTAAGATGATATGGTAGTGTCATTGTCCAGGATAATTTCTGAAACATATCTCAATCATTAAAATGTTTAGTTTGTAATTAAAGCAGCTAATTGCAGAAAACATGTTTCTTTCCAGATGTGTTTCTTTCCAGACGAAAATATATCATTCCAATTTCTCCTTGTTATTTTTCATCATCTACTTTTAATAGCAGACCTACACTTCCTTGTCTTTTTTGCTTCTAACAAGTCAAAGAAGTTCTGTTGGTTCTCTTTTTTAATCATCCATCACAGTCTAATGTGATTGGGTTTAGCTGATCTTTCATTGAAGGTTTGGGTGACTGCAGTATCTCTTTTTTCATCGACTATATTTGTCCCTTTCACTCACTGTTTCTTAGAAAGCACTTTGTGCAACCATACTGATTTCTTTTGATAGCCACAATTTTTTTTTCCTGATCTTAAAGAAGCTCTTGAAAATGGCTTTGTTGATCTTGAATCTAAGTTGGGCCAGATTCAGCTAGTACATGGATGTGAAATCACAAAGTTGTAGACTAGACTAGGAAATTGGGAAAAAG